TAGTCGGCTCTTCATCACTTTATTTTACATTACGGTTAGTGCAATGAAATATTTAGTGAAAAGGCATAGCCACATAATATACAGTCCAAAATTCGTGCAAATATGGCCAATAATGTACAGTTGATGAGTAATAAACGATTTTCCCTCAATGTAATTGGTGTACTATCTGGGTTTGATAATTTTTGGATATTACAAATAAATAACGGATAGACATTATAATTTTAAGTCATTGGAATGGATCAAATAGAGATTTTACAAACAAACAAGATACTGATCGATCTATCATTATGCTGGAAATAAATTTTCTCATAAATATCAATCATTTGAACTTTCTTTGAGAAAAGCAGAAAGAAAATTTTAGCAAGAAATATTTACTTGACGATATTTCTTTTTCGAATAAAAATTTTCCATTATAGATTCTTCTTTCTCCGCATCTTCGGTATCCGGCTTGAGATTCGTTACCGGAATATACTCAAGAACCTGTAAAAGTTGTGTAAAAGTAGGAAGCAATCAGTCACACTAGAAAATGAATAAGTAAAAACAAAGTAACCATCAGATAAGGAACCAGAATGAGGAAAAAAATTAAGACAAAAGATAAAATACCTATATCGCCTAAAAGACTGAGAAATTTATATGCTCTTGAAGAACAAGCAATGCAAAGAAAAGCATGGAAAATTTAGAGTAAATTAATGCTAAGTTTCATAACTTCTAAAAGAATGAATAAACAAAAAAGAATTCTTATCGTACTCTTCCTTATCTCTCTCTATCGTAAACTTACTTTCTGCACTTCTGGTTCAAAGCCCATATCCAACATTCTGTCAGCCTCATCCAAAATAACATAGGTGCATTGATCTAATGATAAATAACGATTTTCCAAAACATCTAACAAACGTCCTGGCGTAGCGATAACCACCTGAATAAAATATAATGATTTTTTAGGAAAAGTCGAGCAAAATCAAGGAATTCAACGAAAAAATGAACAATATTTCTAAACTGGAAAAAAATGGTATGAAATAAAGGCAGTTCTATTAGCTATTCGACTTATTATTACATTCGACCTCATAAATTATAATGCATTTATCACATAAAGCAATTCAGTTCTCATTCATTGCAATATATTTCTTTCATAATCCCACTTATTTCTCAAAAAATCTCACGATGAATTATGGATTTTCCCACTATCCTCACGCATATCGAGAAAATATTAAATTTTAAAATGTAAAAAATAAAAACACTTTCTTAGAGGGTAAATTAAAACAAAATTTAAAGTTTAGGAAATTTAGTTTTCTGATAATTAATTAGTTATTATCGATGGAATAGAAGTTAACTCCAACGAAATTGCCATAAAAACAAGAGCGCTCCAGAAATCCCTCATTGGATATTTCAGTCATGATTCTACTTTTTTAATGAAACGTAATAAAGCCTTCCCTGGAAAACAAAAACTGCGCCCGTATGTCCACTAATGAAAAACGCTGCTTCATTTTCTGTCCTTTATTTACTTCTGCAATTATCTAAGACCGAAATTTATTGTTTTTCATTACATCATGATTAAATTAAAACCTTTTCTCGCTTGAAACAAACAGAATGTAGGCAACTTTAAACTGCTTTGAATGCTTTAAATTGCTTTAAATGTGCGCTTTAAATTTATAATGAATTCAGATTTCAGCCATAAAAGAGAATGAAAGAAAGGTCCAGTTATAAAAACTCGTCAAATAAGAAGTATGAAAAGTATGACTATATGGTATAAAGTTTTTTATAACATCAATCGTTTGTGGAATGGCAAGAGGAAAAGGCAAAAACAGGTCCCTATGAGAAAAAGGAATCCTACGCGATAATGAGGTTGCACAAGTAATCTTGAGTAGTCTCAATATTTTTCTTCCAACTTCTTATAGGTGCTACGAGTTCCCGGAAGAAAGACTTTTCTCATATTTTCATAAAATGGAACTTGATCGAACATGATCGGCCGTGACAAGTACAGTGGAAAATTTAAATAATGGATGGATCAAATAAAATTAGACATGGTAGGTATTTAGACATTTATCTCGTTTCAACGAGCTTGCGCAAGTAATCTTGCGTAATATCAAGATCTTTTTTTTCATCTTTCTGAGCAAATGCACTTTCAAGCTATAGCTGAGATAATGAAGTGAATATTTGTTGTGGATACAAGAGAATGAATCAATAAACATGTACCTCAACACCAAGACGAAGTTTTAAACCCTGTTCTTCTCGTGAAGCACCACCAATTACTGAAACTGTTCGGATTCCAAGTAACTGCCCGAATTTAACCGTTTCTTCCTCTATTTGTTGTGCTAACTCACGTGTCGGTGCCATAATAATAGCATAAGGCCCATGAAATACATCAATATCATTTTCATGTAAGATACAAAAAGAAGAAAGTTCAGAAGAAACTTCTACTGTTTTTGAAAACATCAAGTTTCAAATTTTCTAAGTTATCTCATTTTTCGCATAAAAGTTTTATTGTAGTAGTAAGATTCAAGATCTGTTACTTGACCCGAAGAACGAGAGAATACGTTAATGATATTCTGGGCATTTATATAGGGCAGGGAAAAAGAATTAAAGAAACCTTCGGTGGGAATTTGAAATTATAGAGAAGCTTGAACAGAAAATATTATAGAAATCCTCAAAAATCCTCAATTTGAAAAAAACCCTCGTTGTAATTCACGCTTTGAATAATCATAATACTTTCATAATCTGCATGCCACTCAATTTAATTTGCTTACAAATTTAAAAAATTGGCAAATAAAAACTAACTGTGTCTTGTTCATCGTTACCATGAAATTTTGGTATTGATGTTATCCACACCAGAAGTGGTATTAAAAAGGCAGCCGTCTTTCCAGATCCAGTCTCCGCTACGCCAATTATATCTCTATTTTGCAAGCCGATGGGAATTGCTTGCCGTTGGATTGGTGTTGGTTCCTGCACGACATAGCAGATAAAAAAGAAAAAGACAAATTTTTCCAATAATCAATTCTACTAATTACAAAGTAAAAGAAAAAAACATTGGTTTCAATAATCTATTGATGCTTTTCAAAATTCATTATATTTAACCAACCTTGTAACCAATTTTCATAATAACATCAAAGACTTCTGAAGGTAAGCCTGCTTCTTCCCAATTGCGCAACGGTTTCGGAACACGGCCACCTTTAATAGAAATATTGAAGTCTTCCCGAAATATACGCCAATCACGTTCAGTCATCTGATCCAAGTTTTTTTGTGTCCAATGTCTATTATCAAATGCTTCCTTCTTCTCTTTTTTCTTTACACCAGCCAATCTAGAAGTGAAAGATATATGAAGGAAGGAAAAAAATATAACAAAAAATAAAACCTTTGCAAATAAATACCGTAGTTCTTCTTGCTGTTTCTCTTCTTTGGTTCGCCGCTTTTCCATTAAATTCGCATAAAACTCCGATTTTTGCTTCTTCTGTGCGTTTACATCCATTCCAGCTATGGATCCTCGACCAAAAAATTGCACTTCATGTCTCTAAAACGATATTTGAATGGCCGTAGTCTCAAAATCATAAATTACAGTCAAATGTATATATCTATACAATGATTGTCGCTAAACTACATATCATATATACACTATATACGATAAACTTTATTGTGCCACAACTTTATTTCAACATTCCTTGAAATTGATATAAATATAAAGAAAAATTCATTATTTTAATTACTACGACTTGAAAAAACTCTATAAACAAATTGCAGGTGAGTAATTAAGAATTCAAAAAATTAAACAATGGAAATCCCGTCTTCTCCGAAATGTGGAATTATTATTAAATATAAATGCAAATGCAAGAAATTAAAGCTGCATACATTCTGGTATAATTTATTGTAGTCGTTTGACGTATCTTCGCCAGCATCCCAATCAAAAATGAACTTCCGCTCATGCAATCGACGACCACGTTTTCGTTTCTCTCTCTGTCCTCCTAAATTCCGAAAAGATTTGAATTTTTAGCTTCAATAAGATAAATGAGATAGAGTCTAAAAACTGTACAGAACGTTTCAGGACAAAAAATGTAATGTGAAAATGAAGAAAAGCAAAAAAAATAATATGAAGTAAAATGTTGTGAAAATTTTTAAATTTGTTTAAAGAGATAATGAAAGAGGAAAACAATTTTTTCTTAATTATAATTCTTTGATATTCACACATGAAGCTTAGTTTCTTAAGACCGCAATCTAGTATACCGCTCTAAAATAATTTTGAAAATAAAAATTTTGTCTCAGAGGCTTCCGAAGTAAACCAGTGAAGATTGAAGGCTGCAGAATTTTATAAAATAAGCTATCATAAAACTACAATATGCTTACCTTTAATATGTACACCTGAAAAACGTTACAATTTGAAAGCAAAACTTGCCGAGGTAACGCTGACGGATAGCTTCATTGAGCTTTTCCAAATCTTTATCGGTTTCTCTTTCATCTTTCACTTCTCCATTACGATCATTTTTTTCCGTTTCTTGACGTTTCTCACGACTACGACTGCGTCGTTCACGACTTTTACTTCGTCTTTCGCGACTTCGACTTCTTCTTTCTCGACTTCTACTTCTTCGTCCTGAAGAAAAAAGGAGATAAAAAGTGTTCGTAATCAATAAGTGGAATGAAATTGATAATAAAAGGCTATTATCTAAAAAATTTTTCTTGATTAAAATTGAATGAACACTACCAAGTTTTACCTTCTCGATCGCGACTCCGACTTCTACGTCCTCGCTCGCGATCCTTTTCACGATCTGTGTCTTTTTCACGTTCGCGTTCACGTTCACGTTCACGTTCACGATCTTTGCGTTCCTTTTCACGTTCTCGGTCACGTTCTTTTTCTACAAAGTAATAGTACGAAATAAAAAATAAAAACTATAAACAATTTATTTGAGCAAGGTGAAAAAGTTCATCAAATATAAAACAATGATTAAATAGAAAACAAGAACAAAAGGAAGTTCTGATATTTCAAAAATTATTAGGAAAATGAATCACAAAACCTGCTCTTTTAGCATCTTGAATAAATGCTTTCCGTTTCTCAAGCAGTGCTTTTTGAGTTTCTCGTTGTTTTGCTACTTGTTCTTCACGTTTCTTCAATGCGAGTGCTTCACGTTCGGCACGTGTCAAAAATTTCGGCTGTAAGTAGCTGGGTGATAAAATCTTAGTAGCGAAACAACAATCACGACATAAATGAAAGAAACAGTAGCTTGACAGAATTTCCTGATTACCTATATTTCAGTGATTTATTCTTTTTTTATTACTATACAGTTGACAGTTATTTTCTTTTCGATTTCGAATTTGGCGGGTTAACATAATAA